ATATAAAAAAAATATTAAAAATATATAAAATAATATTATATTACTAACAATATTGTATGCTATTATATTATTATATAAAGAAAAAATTTATATAAGGTTGCAATCTTAAAATGTAGAATTAAGGTGTACCTCAAAAATTTATTGATGTTGAAAAACCCTCTTATTAATCATCTCAATATCGTGATGTATGAATATAAAAATGAAAATAAGATTTTGAGTTCTCAAAATAGTGTATCTTGCAACAAATTATTTGGATTGTCTATTTTCAATATTTTCCTGTATTTATAGATCTACTCGTTTTGAACCATTTTTTGGGTTTAAAATTTTATAATTAGAGATGAAAATGGCTTATCAGGGCATTCTAAGATTTTTTTACACCAAAATTATGTTTATGACAAAATCTAGATGTGCGCCTTAATTTGATAGTTTAAAGTTGCAACCTTATACAAACTACACCCATTATATAATATTATTATATTATATTATATAATTTCAGGGAGACAAGATGCTATCCAAATAGTAGACACCTTTATTATAGGAGATGTTAATTCCAGGAGATATCAATTCCAAGAGAGGCATCTCCCCAAGATCCCTCTTTCTAAGGAATCAAACTTGATATGAATCCCAATTTTAAAATTTCATAGAAATATGAAATCTTGGAGTTAGGCCATTATCCAAAATTTAATCGATATTGAGCCAAATAGGCCCTAAATTTTTCAAATATATTGTTAAAGTCAAATCTCATTTGATTCGTCCATTAGTATTTTATAAATCGGACAATTGTTGATCCAAGTCGTCGATCTGGATGCAGAATTGGTTGGGACAAAACTAGTTCCATAATGGTATGTCCCGACCAGGTTCCCCCCCAAAACTCTTCATTTTTTTCTCTTTTTTCTTTAAGCTTATCTAATGTTTTATGTGGTCTCCCCCTAAATCCCCACCCTATAAACCTCTATTTTGTTTTTTATTTTTTATTTTTTTGGATCACCAATCTAGATGATTTGAGAACAATCATGATTGCTGATCCAGCTGATCCAAACCGGGATTGGGGGTGGACAATCTGCCTCACCATTCCGTTTCTTTCTTTTTTTCAAAATGGACTCCATTTTATTGAGCAACAAATCAAAAGGCTTTGAAGTCTTTTTAAACATGGTCCTGCTTCCCTGGACAAAACCCAATCTTGGGGTTTTTTAAGGATCTAAAGTTTGAAAATGTATACTAACTTCCAAAAAGAAAATTTTAAATGCACTCTTTATGATCCTAAAAAAGTAAAATCCTAAATTTTAAGGTAAATTATCTAATTTTTGGACAACCAGATCTAAGTATTGAAGAATTCAAATTTTTATTTTTTTAAACAATTATTTGGCAATTCTTAATTAGATCCAAAATTTCACATAAAAAATTCCTTGAATAACTTTTTCTCCTAGGGGAGTAAAGGAACGTATACTCCCATAGAAGAATAGCACACATCATTCCTAAAACTCCCAAATCAAATATCCAAGAAACACTATATTCCAAAAGAAAAAGATATATATCCCAAAATGACTAGGTGTAAAGCTCCAAAACTTCTCAAAATATATTGCTATCCCAAAACCATACATTCTCAATGAACAACGCACTAAATTTATGTAATTTTTCTTAGAGATTCAATTCAAATTTTATGTAATTTTTCTTGGAGATTTAATTCAAATCCCATTTGGAAGAGCATGGTCATATGCGTGCTTGTGCTACGCAGTGCAAGTAGAGAGGTTTTGAGGTGGGGTAACATGGTAATATAATGTTCCTGGGAAACACAAAAGTTTCCCTATATTTCACTCTCCCGAGGAAGCATGAAATCTTGTAGCATTATGTTAACTCTGGTGGCAATAAACCCGGACCCGACGTGGGACCCGCAGAATACATCCGAACCGGGATCCAAAGGATGGACTCGACCCAAATCTGGGTCTGAGTTCAATACCCGGTAGGTCGACTCTGGGTCAAAGTCTTGAACCACATATTTTCGGGTATTAATTTATGAAAAATAGATAAACATCAAATTAGAGCCTACCTTAAAAATTTCAAAATATATGAAAAATAGATAAAAGTTTATATAGAGCCGAAGCTCTAAACAATCAAATTAGCGCCTACCTAAAAAGTTTCACTAAAAGAGGTTATGTTGATTCTTAAATATCCTCAAATTGATCATCTTGACATCAAGATGCATGAACATGAGAGAAAAATGGATTTCAAGTTTTGAAAATAATGTATTTTGTAATGCATTTTTGGACCGTCAATTTTCAAAATTTTTAAGCTTTCATAGATATGTGGATCTACACAATTTTTGAAGCTTTAAACTTTGTAAATAAAGATGAAAATATATTCTAAGG